TCATTCAATTAATTACTTGAGCAGCTCAATTCTCATATAGATCTAAATACTAGATTAAAATGCTGATTTACTCGCACGCTACACCTTGTAACAATCAATTCAGATGAAATGACAACCTCAACAAAGCTAAAAAAATCCAGCAAAAACACACCTAAGAAAAAAACCAACTAACGTGAAACACAAAAGGATCACACACATTACCTGCTTTCGTCATGCCAATCCCACTGTCGATAATCGAGAGCGTCTTGTTGACCTTATCCGGCACGAGTCGGATAAACAGCTCCGGCTGCGCATCGAGCTTGCTCTTGTCGGTCAAGCTCTCGAATCGGATCTTGTCCAGCGCGTCCGAAGCGTTGCTGATGAGCTCCCGGAGGAAAATCTCCTTGTTGCTGTAGAACGTGTTGATGATGAGGCTGAGGAGCTGGTTGATCTCCGCCTGGAAGGCAAAAGTCTCTGCGTCCGCCATCTGCACGTCCGCCATCTGAAATTCGAAGCAGAAAAATATTCAAACGGGTAACTAAGAGAGCGCGAGCGTTGAATCAGAGCAGATTGATTTTCTGTTGAATGTTTTTTTCACTACTGAATAGAAAAGGATTGAAGGATAAGGGTTATATAGGTGGGGAGGATTTTCTAGGGAGTTCCATTGGTGAGCGTTTTTCTCCAGAGGTGTGAGAGACTCATCGGGCGCGTTCTGGAGGCTTCTACTCCAGTCTGGAATTTCGTTTTGTTATTTCCCGCTTAAAAGTAATCTATATATAAATATATAAAAAAATATATAATTGGTAACAAAACAATCTATATATTTCTCGTAAAAAAACGTTACAAAATTCTATCATTAATATTTTTTTCTTTTCACCTTATTCTACTTTTATTTAACATTTACAAACTCTATGTGTAATATAATTTTTAATTTATCTCCTTACATAATTTTAGTCATTAGCATTTTTGTCACCCATTTAACCTACATTTTATTTTATTTTTTATTCTTGATTTGAAATCATTTATTAGCAAATTTAATTCAATTGTTTTAATTTAATAAAAAAATAATTTGTTACTTTTAGATTTTTATTAAAGTGTAAAGTTATTATACATTAATATTACATTACAAAGCGATAGAAACTCAATTAAATGACAAATAAAAAAGTCTCAGTTATCTCTTCCAAATGATTATGTGCACATAGATCGTAACAAAAATATATATATAAATAATCAATATATAATATATTAAATACACGACAAAGAAGCCTTGATCAACTATATGGGTAACATATATCATACATAAATCACTACATAACAAATCAACTTTTTTATTTATTTATTTATTTATTCTGTAGAAATTTACAATCCAACAAAATTGTTGCACATTTTAATGTAATATTCTTCATTTGGCAAATAATAATAATAATAATAATAATAATAATAATAATAATAATAATAATAATAATAATAATAATAATAATAAGTAATCAATTGGCACCTTAATTTTTTTCATTAATAAAATACTTATATTTTTTAATTATTTATTCAAACTATTATTTTTTTAGTTCACGAAACAAGTATTTTTATTTAAAATCAATTAATTTATTTTTTTGGCATAACCAAGCCCCTTATATTTTCGTACACAATTGCTATAATAATAATTTTAATATTATTTTATCTACTAATTGGTCATAATCAACCAAAATTGTAAAAATAATATTATTGCGAACAATATAAAAATTAATATGTACGTTAAATAATATATATTTTCATTAATTTTTACCAGTGTTTAAATATATAAAATGTTATATGCTAATTATCTAACTTATGATTTTAACTATTACATACACACATATATAATATATAAAATTTTATTTACAATATGTGAATGTGCACAAGATCGAATACTAGTTGGATTGTAGATATAAAAAAATTGCAATCAATATTGTTCCCTTTATTTTTTATCTTCCAGCCTGTCCACTGGTTACTGATGGGTAAAAAATTAAAAATTAAATTAGCAAGATCTTAGGTGATTTAATGAGAACGCAAGTTAGAAACATTTTTCTTTTTTCCTTTTTGAATTTGATTAAGATTGCTAAAACTTGCTAAAATGGTCTGTCAGCTTGAGTATCTATTTTTTAGTTCCTATATCTATATCTATTAGTATTGATATTCGTGCATCCCACGGGATATTATGTTGCTAGTAGTTCCTAATGTTTAATCTTGATTTCTCCCGCTCGGTTGTGTGGCTTGTCAGTCTCGACTATATATTTAATATTTATTTTGGGTATTTTCCGAAAAAACCAACCAAAAGGACATTTCAATCATAATTTGATAAATCCAATCAAAAGATACACAATTCGATATAACATAAAATTAAACATACACACAAATGACTAAAATACAAACATACCAACACACTAGCAAAAGATTAAAATTAATATTAAATTAAAATTGAAAATCAAGAGACATGTTAGTTAGCAAATGGTAAAACAATACTTACATAATACACTTATCTACTATTTAATTATTTATATCATAAAAACAATACTTTTACATTAGTTTATTTGACATAAATTTGTAATACTACTTAATCATTTTATAACAATAACCCACATTCTAAAAAAACGAGAAAATTAACTTAGTCATTTTTATTTAACATTAATTTCAGTAAAATTTGTACAAATCATATACTA